TTGCAAGCCCCTCCCTCTCTGCTCAGCAGTGAGTGGTGCTTTGCCAACACAGTGGGGAAGCAAGGACAAGCACCTCGTATGCACCCCTCTGGTACTGGCGTGTGCTGTGAGTTAGGAGGAGCTGTGCCCCGGGAGAAGCTGCTACTCATGAGTGCGGTGGGACTCTGTGGTACATCTCTGCTACAGCTGCCCACAAAACAAAAGGAAGGGTTTGGATATGGGACTCTGAGCCAGACTGTTTTGAAGCAGGAGGTGGGTTGGTTCAGTTGTGCTGGCTTGGCAGGGAGACCTACCAAGACTCCTACATTAGTGCTTGCTTATGAACTCACCTTGTGATGGCCATGATAAACCAGGTGAGCTTCAGGCTATATGAGTGCACTGCAAACAATTTCAACAGAAGCTCACATACCCCAAATGGAGAGACGAACATTTGCTACAAAGCATTAGGACTCACCTGAAAGCCTACCTGTCTTACACCAGGACTGCATGCTGTACCACATTTCCTAAAGCACTTCAAAAAGGTAAAATAAAAATAAAATATTTTCTCAAATACAGTGGCAGATCAGCCTTCTGAGACTGCAATACAAGCCTACATCCACAGAACCGTACCCTGAAGAGCTATTTGTGAATTGCAGTTTACTTAAAAACATTTCATAAAACACTGATTCTTGATACACCAGAGATGCCCATTCACACTCACCTGGTGTTGTCTCTGTCAGCAAAGGCTCTGCAGCTGGCTGCATAGAGGGCCACCACCTCTGCTTGCCACATCCATGGGGACATCTGTCAGAGCTCACCCTGTTCAGCCAAACCAATGAACATCCCAGGTATGAAAGCAAGAACCACTACACACTCCATCACCATGGGCAGGCTTTAAAGGACACACACTGAGCACCACCAACAAGGGAAAGCAGAAACACTCCCTAACCTGCTCCCGAAAGCATGTGCTGCCAGTTAGAGAAGTGAGAGTGATACCAGGTGTCTCTTGTGATCAGTTGCAACCCACCCAAAACAGTCAACAAGGTACCCAAAGAAAAACTGACTGCAGCATTCAATTTGTTCTGGGCCTAGGCTTAGCCCCCTGCACCAGGGCAGCTGGCAGTACACCCATTTCTCCCACTCCCCAGGAGCTGAGGGACTCACACCTGGCAAAGAGATGTTTGCATACTCTGGTGGGCAGGAAAACAAGGCTCCAAAAACCAACAGGGATCCCCAAAGAGGGGAGCAGGACAAGGTGAGGCACCTTCCAGGAACAGGCAGTGGGGAGCCCAGGGCAGCCGTTCACTGCCCGGCACCATGGATGCACTAGTCTTATGGGTTTTTTTCCAGGAAAGACAAATTTGGGACATTCACAAACAAAATAACCCAGACAAAAGCTCTCTCTGCTCCCCACTCCCAGCTGAAATATTCTGAACAGTAGCTTTCTAACAGCTCCTCTTTGTGAAGGGGAGGGTGGTACAGTTGCTCCTTGCAGCAGTGCTGACCACCTTGACACCAGCAGCTCAAGCAGCAAAGGGTTGTGCTTCACTACAGCATCACAGAATCAATTAGGATGGAAAAGACCTCTGAGATCATCGAGTCCAACCCATGACCAAAGACCACCATGTCAACTAGACCACGGCACAAAGCACTACATCCAGCCTTTCCTTAAACACCTCCAGGGACAGTGACTCCACCACCTCCCTAGGCAGTCCATTCCAATGTTTAATCGCTTTCTGTGAAGAAATTCCTTCTAGTGTCCAACCTAAACCTCCCCTGGAATGCTTAAGACTATGTCCTCTTGTCCTGTCATGAGCTGCCTGGGAGAAGACACTGATCTTCACCTGGCTACAGCTTCCTTTCATGAAGTTGTAGAGAGTGATAAGGTCTCCCCTGAGCCTCCTCTTCTCCAGGTTAAACAACCCCAGCTCCCTCAGCCACTCCTTACAGGACGTACCCTTCTGACCCCTCCCCAGTGCTGTTACCCTTCTCTGGACCTGCTTCAGCACCTCAGCGTCCTTCCTGAACTGAGGGGCCCAGAACTGGACACAGTAGGCAAGGTATGGCCTCACCAATGCTGAGTACAGGGGCACAGTCACTTCCCTAGTCCTGCTGGCCCCACCATTTCTGATACAAGCCAGGATTCCATTGGCCTTCTTGGCCACCTGGACACACTGATGGGCACATCCACATGAGACAGGCCCTTAGCAGACTTGCTGGTCTCTTTTCCCTGTCCCCATGCTCCAATGGCTTGATTGGCACTTAAATGAATTGCAATTAATTGCAAAGATGGGGGAATAATTTGTGAACTACCCACACTGTGGCAGTGTGAGGTGCCTGGGCTGTGGCCATGCGCCTGCACTGCTAACATGCCCTGTGGCTACCACAGGATTAATCCAGCCCTGCCATCCAGCATGATGACACCAGACAAGGAAATATCATGAGTCAGCAATGTTTTGAATCCTTCCCCTTTGTCTGCTGGCTTTTGGCAGCTGCTGTGCCCTGTCCTCCTGCCAGCAAGTGCTTCTCAAAGCCAAGGATAGCCAGAACATCTCCTTGGAAATCAAGGAATCGCAAGTCATTTGGGGATAACTTATAGAAAAGTGTTGTCAAGTCAGGAGCAGATCAGCAGTCAGGAAGATAACCTGATGCGTTAATTAATTCTGTGTAGACCGGGGAGTATATGCTCCCTGGAGCCAGCTGCTGCAGCCCGTGAGGAGAACACGGCTGGCTGCTCCCTCTGAGCCCGCGGGTCGCAGGGCTGGAGCACAGGGAGTGCCCGCGTACGCGCGGGGTTTCCTCCTCTATTTCTTTGGCTCAGAGTCAGGCTCAGGCTCGCTGCCGTCAGTACTTCCCGCTGCCTCCCTCCCTCGGCGGGATGAGGACGGTGCCCGAGGAGCGCCCGCCGCAGCGGCTCCTCCTCACGGCACAGCCTTGGCCACCAGGCGGCGCCGGCGGGCCGCGGCGGGCGCGGGGCGGGGCGGCCTCGACCCCGGGCGGGTCTGGGGGTCACCCCTTCCCTCCCTCACGGGCACTGCCCCGACCCCGGCGGGTCTGGGGGGTCACCCCTCTCCTCCCTCACGGCACTGCCCCGACCCCGGGCGGGTCTGGGGTCACCCCCTCCCTCCCCTCACGGCACTGCCCCGACCCCGGGCGGGTCTGGGGGTCACACCCTCCCTCCCCTCACGGCACTGCCCCAGCACGGACCGCACCGCGGCACGGGGAATGGCGAAGTTCAGCCAAGCGCTCTCAGAACCTGCAGGGAAAACACCCCGAACTGTGCAGGAGGAAATACACACATACACACAAACAAACACACGCACACAAACACACACGCACCCTTCTGCACACCGCAGCCAAGCGCTAAACACAGCATAGCAAAACTTAGCATTTCTTAAACAGAGGAGCTGCATGTGCGTACTAGAGGGTCCGTTAAAGTGTATTTTTGATAATGCCACCAGAGACCAGTAAAGTATCCAAGAAAGCTCGCAGGTTCCGTGTAAGCTCCCACCTCAGCTCTTCCTCCACTCCGCGTCTCAGGTGGAGCTCAGGTAGCTCTGACTCAAGCTAGGAAACACACCGACTGAGATCAGGGAGATTTCTGTAATAGCCATTTAGTACATTAATGCCCATAGGAGAACAGGAAAAGTAAACAAAAAAAAAAAGTACCGAGTGCTAAGAATGCCAAATCATTAAACAGACTCATTGCTTCAGCATTAGGATCTTTTCCCATGGATCCAGGACAAAGAACATCCCATGAAAACACCCACCAACCCATGGGATTTCTCGTGTGTACACCACCGTTAACCAGCAGCAAATGTGCTGCAAGTGCTGCCATGGTGTTGGGCTCAGCACAAAACTCTCATTTAAAAAGATGCTGTAGTAAAGGTCAAATGTTTGGAGCTGAAATAGTCCATGCTTGCCATCTTTAAAGGTCAGTTTTCCCAACATCAGTACATAAATGAGTGCAGATATGAACCAAATCTCAGTGTGTAACACCCCACCTTTTGTCTAATAGTGTTTTTGTAAGTTTTAATTGCATATTATTTCTCAGAAATTACTGCCAAAAAAAATTACTCCTTTCTATAATGAGTATCTGTATGAAACTTGCAGCTGAAGGAGAAGATGCTGTACATTAGGCTCACAAAAATCCAGTTGGATTGCTTTCCATTTGACCCAGCAGCACGTGGAAAGATGGACACAATGGGCAACTAAAAGGCAGGCCCAGGAACAATCATGAGAAGGGAAATATCACTAAAATACAATGAATGCACACTACGCTAATTGATATAATCCATGTTTTTATTTCTATTCCAAATTGGGAACAGAAACATTCCACTGCAAAGGGACACTGACAAACACAATAAACCCACTTACACAATGTAGCCTTTTCATGCCCCTTAACAACCCCACCAGCTTTTACTCTGGGTTTCCTTTCTGCCAGTTGGTTCACAGGAAGCATTTGTACCTGCGATTAAGACACTGCTGCTACAGGTGTGACCGTTTTATCATCATTAATGATTTGCCTTGCATAGAATTGCTTCTGTCTTTGGTCACCGGTATGATAAGGAAACGAGGACCTTTGATAGGAGTAGGGCTGAATCATCCATGTGTGATGATTGTTTGCTCAGTTCTGCTTCCCCAGTCACCATGGATTTAAAGGTATCTGTGCCCAGCTGACGGACTGTTGCAGCAATAAGCCAAACACCAGAACAGGACATTAGAGGGCAGCAAGCACACTTACTGCTGCCTGGCTTTATCCAGAGCCAAGGGAAAGGTAAAAACCTCTGTCCCAACACTCGGGCAAAAGGTTTCTGTGCCCATTTCCAAATAGTTCCAAATTTCCCGGTTTTGAATGACTGCAGTGTGCAAGAAGCAGATTTAGGAATATACTGCACCCCAGCTGAACCCTGTGAAGAGTGCAAGGTTAATTGAACCAACCTGGAGAATTTCTACAGCACAAGAACGTAAATGTTCAGGTCACTCAGACAGTAACTTGTGAAATCCAGGGCACCATAATCTCATGTGAAAGGATTTTTATTTATGAAAGCGTGATTAAGTCCCCTTGCAATATACACAGACAACCCCTACTCCAGCTGTACCAGGCAGGAATGCAATGCTACAGTTCACACAAACAAGATGGAGAATGATGTTCTGGTCATTGGTTATCTCAAGTGGATTTTTTTTTATTCAGAATGACACCTGAGGAAAGGCTGTCTGGCACTGAAAGTTATAATTAAGGCTTTTTACATGTTTTAATAAAATGGAACTATTGAAACTACCAACATTGCTTACCACAAAATTCAAATACACCACCAGCTTCTTTAACAGTTGAAAAGAAAGTTTGAAGGCCATTTTTATAAGCCTTGACAGATGTCAAGAAATAGACACTGAACTTCCTTTTTATGCTCAAAGTAGTGATTTATGACAGAATATATTAGGAAATCTCATATTTTCACGGTTCTCTTAACTACTGCAGAGCCCTTTACTTCTCCAGTTGCCTATCAGCATTATAACAAATAACACTACTTAAAGTTTAAAGGCTGAGGACTAGTAAAGTCATGCACATAAAAAGAGAGTAAAATGAGTAGGTTCAAGTTTTCCGTTACTCATTTGTAAGAGTGGAAGAGAAACTCTGCAATATGTGCTTTTATTTCACTTATCCATTTTGTGACCTCAGGAGAAAAACAGCTAGAGGAACAGGTAGTGAAGAAAAGGGTTAGAGTACTTGTTTCTCAAAAAACAAAAATTCCAAAACCTACAAAATACCACTACCAAAAAAAAAAAAACAAAATTAGTGCCAGACCATTACAGTCCTATCAAAAGCTGAGAAACATCAGTGTTGCAGCTACGCTGGTTTAAGGATGCAAACAAGGCATCATTCATAAGCAAAAGATGCAGTCCCTTATTTGCCTGGGTGCTACAGCTGAACAATGCATACAGGTACACAAACACGGTTATACTAAAAAGAGAATAGGTACTAAAATTCAATGTCTGGCTGCGTGGTCTCCAGCTTTTATGTGGTCTAGCACATAAAAACACCTCAAACTGAAAATACGTATTATGGACCTTAATGTGCAATGAGAGCAACAAATTGCACCTTACATGCTTCTTCCACCATTAAGAGGTGGAAATGCTCCTCAGAAGAGGGCATTTAGTGACAACAGCAGTACATGATAAAGCATTTGTACTTCGAGTAAGAAAACTAGTCAAACACACTGGTAACCCTGCCCTGAGCTGGAAGCTTAAGCTCTGCTCTGTCTTCTGCAAAGACACTCAGCTACTTCACAGCTAAAGCCTCAACACAGGCAGTTCACAACGAAGTACTTCACGTGAGAATTTCACTAAGAGGGCAAGTGGGGGATGGAACAAGGCCTCAAGCAAATCACTGGGACTTTTATGGGCAGTAAGTCTAATCCAGTATCAAACCAGAGAAAAAGCTCTCTGATCAAAAGCTAGCCACCTGCCCTACGAAGGAAGCTGCTGTGAACCACAGACTGCGAGATTATCAAGAGACACTTCTCAGCTCTGAGAGACTCTAAGTGGGCTCCTGGCACTCTCCTGAACTCAGTAAGTCACCATTCTTAAACATAAGCAGTGCAACTACATGTATTTAATATATTCCACATTAAATGCATTCACAGCTAGTTACGTTTGACCCTAGGGGCTGTTAGGTTCACAGACCAAATATCCCTCATACTTCTATTCTCTCTCAACGCTATCCTGGAAAAACATGAGTTTTCCCATTATTCTGTATGTTTCTAGACTTAAAACAGATACCTGCCAGGATTTATTTGTTAAAGGGAAAGCAAGATCAGATGCATTTTCCTCCATCTCCATTTAAAATTGTCTTTATTTCAGTCATTTTAAGCAGAAACCTCTCACAGCAGTTGGGATAAGCAGGCTGTTAAACCATTACACTGTTACATTCAATTGCAGAGATACATCTCACTTCATACAAGTATAAGCAAAGGTGTGTTTGTGGTGAGGTTTTTTAAGGAGCAGTTTTTATATGTCTCAGTGTGCCACATACATTGATCTGCAGTCTTTGCATCAGGAGGCCAACTAGGGACACAGTACATCTTGCCTGTGGAACACAGGGGGAATTAAACCATTGTGTCATGACAAACCTTACCTGACAGAAAAGCACATTCAACTTGCTTGAGGAATCCAACTGTTCACCTATACTCAGTATTGTCATGGGTGGGGGTCCTTAATTGCACAAAGGTACAGAGCACTACTTCTTGGATTACTTAAAACTTAACTGAGCACTACCCTCATATCTTGACTCTTAAAATATCTGAGGCACAAGTATGTGTGTGTACTTGTTTTATTCATAATTTGTCTTGGGATACCAAATATATTTCTACTTCAGGTGATTCAACAGACTTGTTGACCTCATTTCAAAACATCCACTGATCCATTTTTCATTCAATGGCAATATCGAATGTTAAAAGGAACATAAAAACAAACATGCACACAATTGTACAGTTTTCATAAATGTCTATTTCATTATTTGTGGGTAGCGCATTAAACAGTTAAATACATTTAAATAATGTTTAAGTGACTGCACTAATGCAGAATTTTAACTAGATGGGTAACCAATTTAACTAGAAACCAGCTAACAAGTAACTGTCTAAATACTTCAAATACAGCTCTTGTTCTAGGTCATCCTTCTTGGAAAAAAAAAAGCCTGCTGGTCACATTGGAAATACATTTTAAGGCCAAATTCTTCTGATATCCCTTCTCTGCAGCAGTTTCTTCACCTTTTTAAGCCTCCAATTCCAGGCCAAGACCAAGTTTATGGCCACCAGCATTGATGCTCTTTCCATCTATCAGGGCAGACAGTGTAAGCTTCACACCTGTAAGATTTTTAAGCAGCACGTTTACAACACACACAGTAGCTTTTATGCAACCCAACCTCCGTCACTACGAGTCCCAGTTGTAGCTCTTTTTCTATTTCATTACTTTTTTTACAGAAGAATATATTTACCCACGAAATCCACTGAAAGTTAGTCATGTGAACCAAGCTAGATGCTTTTTGTAAACACTGTGTTATGAAGTGGATATACAAAATCTCTAATTACTAAACACACAAGAGCTCTCCTTTCCCCCATTAAGGTGTGCAAAGGAGGAGGAAAATTGTGGACAGACAGACACGAGGTCAGAACAAGTTATGTTCTGGAGGGTTTTTTTACTAAATACGAAGAGCAGGAAGTGTGTTTTTTGACAATTAATCGTTCTTTCAAGACCTGCTATCATTCAGTGTTGTATGATTAGAGAAAACAATGTCAAAAAAGAAAACCTGCTTTGCCTAGCCTAAAACTAAGCTGTCAAACACAATATAGTCCACTCCTGTACAAATCAACGAGGAATATAATGCATTAATACCATTAGATAAAATGGAGTTTGTCTTACTTAGATAAAGGTTCGATGTGCAACATAAGCTACTGTAAAACATCTACTTTGCCTTCAAGACAAAATTATTCTCAAGAAAGAAAATAGTTGCATATAAACACATAGATCAATTTTTCTTTGTGATGCATTAAAGATATATATGTGACATAATTCATGTGATAACTCTTACCTGGCCTCAGCGTCTGGGTGTAACCCACTCCAACTAGACTAGAATTGTTCACTTTTGCCTATTAAAAAAAACAAGACAAAAGCAATTGAAAGGTAACTAATTAGTTCTTTGTTATCATTTAGAAACTAGAGTAACTATGGCAACACTGCCATTATCAGCTTAACCAAATTTTACCTGTTCTTTCAATACCTCTCTGCTTCCTGAATTCTCTCCTTCAAGTATTTGCCCTTGTCCCTGTACTTGCAGCTGAAGCAGTAACATATTTAAGAATAGGGAGAACTGTTACTGGAATGTGGTTTTGCAGGTGAACTTCCCCATTTCTGCCTTTTCAGAAGGCCACAGGCATTTACCACCAGTCTCCCAAAACATGCCACTTCAGAAGAAATATCCATGTTCGTATTATTACAAAAGAATTAGCATTACAAAGTCTAATCAGCCAAGCAGCAAAAATTTTCTTATTTCTACATATCATAAACAATATGTGAAAACTTATTTATCTCACTTTGCATCACTTCCACAACAGGATGATTCCAATGATCCAGGTTCAATCCTAACTTTGTAATGTACAGAAAACTGTTGTGCTTATAACCTTTTTAATCACTACTGCAAGGAGTTCTTACCATGGGAATGCACCAGAGCTCCCCAAAAACTGGTTTTAAAGAAATTCTGTAAACTTACAGAACTAGACATGAAGGGTGGGTTTTTTTCCCCATTGTGTTTTTCTTTTAATAAACTCTCTAGAGTAGACCCAGCATTTGACAGTCAGGTTCTGAGAGACTCTGCAGACATTACAGAATTTAAATACTGCTGGTTTTATTATAACTGCCAGGATGGTTAAGAGTAATTCCTACAAGTGTTCACAATCTTTTTTTGTACTAATAGTACACAGGTTTGCAGACACTGAAAAGACACTGTACTCAGCACAACCCTTCAGGTTACAGCCACACTCACCGAGATAGAAGCAGTGGAATCCAACTTGTATTTAGCTGCAATGCCAAAGCGAGTGCTGTTGCTGCCTGCTGTCCAAGCCAGGTTTACAGCAGTTTCAAGATGGTCACTCACTTTTTGGTAGATTGACCCACCAAATTCAGAACCATCATTGCTGCACAAATTAAGAAAAAAGTTAAGTTTCCTACATTAACATACCCTCCCCCTTTTTTTCCCCTTCTTTTTATTACTTCAAATTTTTATTTAAATTAGAATTTCAAAAGTTTGAGTTGTTTCTCATTTTTTGGCAAGAGAAGGGGAGATTTATTTTGCCCTAAAGCCTTTGTTAAATTGCAATAATTCATGGAAATAAAGAGGTATTTCAGAGTGCTACTTTGTATTACTTGCAATTCTCACGCTACTGTTGAATAAAGTCCTTGAACAAAATTCCAGATCGCATCCTTATGAAACTGATGGATAAAAGTTAGTTAGAAAATGGCCATTATGAATTCATGACTATTGAATACATATGAAAATCCTAAAATGACTTTTTAAAAAAATCTGTCACAATGTTTTACATTAGTAAATTGAAATGGAATTCTTACATGCCAGACTACATAGTATTTTGTAGTTTTCTCCCATACTCCTCAATTTCCATGAATTTGGACAGACACAATCCCCATCCTTCCCCTCCAAATGCACAAACTTCTACCTAACTAAATGCACTAGAACTCCACCAGTTTTTATTAACCTAGATTGAAAACACTGTTTTTCAGCAGGTTTTTCCGAGCTTGCTCCAAAGCACATAAGATCTAAAGGTAGCAAGTCTGAAATTGCATAAACAAGATGTCTTACACTTGTTTAGCTACATTGTTTTATGCACTCTTCATTCCTGACAGTCAAGAAGAGGAACCTACTCAAAAAGTCCAAAAGCAATGCTCTAGTCTTGCCCTAGAAGCTACTATTTACCTGCTTAAATAGTGCAACACTAATTACTACTTCTAACAAATCTGCTGTCCTTAAATTGTAGTCTGATACAATTAATTCAATGTAATAGGAGAGCTGGAAAAAGCATTATGATCAGTTCTGCATAACTGAACTACTGAACTTTCAATTGGCATGTACTTCAATATTATGCGAGCTGTATCCTGCTGCAAGTGCTAACAAGTCACAGGTGTTTACTGTTTTGAAGAGAAATACAAAGTATCTTTTACATTTATTTAGTTTCCTATTGAAAAATGCACTCTATTTAATTGCCTCGTAAGCACCTGTTGATATTTCAAGCATTTGTATTTTCACTAGAAGGAAAGGCAGAGAAAGCCTGCTTCTATAAATCTGGACAAAATTTTCAGTACTTACACATTAGTGTGCAGCTGGAAGTCTCCAGTCTTGTAACCCACAGAGAAATTATTTCTTGTCAATTTTGATTTGGCACTATCAAAAGTCATCTGATAACCAGCAAGCCAGCCTTCATAACCAATGACAGCTGAACCGTGGATTGCAGGTCCAGCAAAATCAAAGTCAACATCACAACCTAGGTTTACGCATTCACGTTTGTAAGCTGACTTAATTTTACCACTTTTCTTTCTGAAACAGAGAAACAATTATCTTAAGACAAGGCATACATGATCTTCCTCAATGAACTGCAAAACTCGAACCATATGACTCTAGACAATGTATCTAAATGCCATGCACAGGCAGCCCCTAGGCCGGGCAGAAGTACAGGCAGCCCATCCAGAGCACATGGGGCTATTGCAAACAGGCATTTTCAGATAAAGGCAGTAGCAGCTGAATCCCTCCTGCAATCTTCCAAGTATTCTATCCCAGACAATAAGTAAAGTGGGCTGTTGTTAAATGTACAGTACTAACCCCACAGTGATGTGATGAGAGCAGAATAAATAAAATTAATAGCATAATCCTTTAGCATTGGGATTTGCTAATTTGGATCGATAGCAAACCATACAAACAGCTCTGTCAATACCACAGACCAGCTGTTACTGCCCTAAGTAAGGTAAAAAGGTTAACAATTCTTACCCTGTATTTGGTGAGAAAGTTGTATCAAATGTCAACTTCAGGCCTTTGGCAAGCTAATTGAAGGGGGAGAAGAGAAGATAAAGCTATAAGTTCTGTTCTGTTAGATAGGTAAAACAAATAAATACTCTTCTAATCTATTACCTGATCTTCAATTGCAATTTCTGTTCCCAGAGTGTTATCTGTGTTCCACTTTTCTGTGAAAGTCAGCCCATACTCAGCCCACTTGTATTTGGTCTCCAAGCTCCCATTCACTTTTCCAGTGTCTGTGTTCGATGAACCAGATGTTGTGAATTCCTAAAAGGGACAGAAGGTACATGTGATTCTGAAAGCATTATACAGTGTTTTCTGCAGCAAACACTAAGATCTTGTTATTCTATACGAGTTTAAAATCAGTAGACAACTTGCAGAGGGAGAGGAGAGACCGGCATGGCCAAGAACTTCCCTAGTCCCCATCTCAGCTGCAGTGTTCCTGCCAATATTACAGACTGTACAGGGTTGCAACCTAACTCCAAAGCAAGACAGTAGTCATCACAAGTATACTCCTTAAAAGCAGAAACAAGTTCTTTTAATGTAAGGCTAAGTTTGATACTCCCAAAGAGCAACTTAAAAATTAAACCAAAAGCCAAGAACACTAAAAGGCACATAATGCAACTCCAGTAAAATTCTTGAAGGATCACATACGTATTTTTTTTCCATTTTTCTTGTCAACCATCCCCAAAGATAAATTATGGACAACTGTAAAATGTCATAGAATGGCATGATTTTTCAAATTGGGAGTGGGTGGTTTGGTTTTTTGTTTGGTTTGGATTTTTGATTGATTTTTAAAGAGAGTTATTAGTCTAACCAACACACCAGCCTTTCACGCCAGCCACAGGCACACATGTATTTACTGACATCTATAAAATTCCCTGGCACTTTGGTTTCATGACACACAAGGGTAACATTCATGTTTGAATAGTGAGCTCAGGGAATGGTCTGGTTTTATGGTACAGTATGGACTTCCCTGGAATTCTTCAAAGGACTTAGAAGTTACCAATATCACTCACATCTCTTTATTAAAGGACTTAGTCCCTGATGTTTCTCACTATTTGGATTCTCACAAAGAACAAAATGAATAGTTTCTATGTACCACTATTCAGAAAGTAAAGGCAATACACAGCAGAAGTGGAAGCCAGGTTTTACAATACATGTTAAAGAGTTCTTTCCATTGAAATATTACTGCCCTTATGATTTAAAAAGCTGATTATTTCAACTTTCTAAAACATATAAATAAAAATTTCATCTGTCTTCCTCCATGCACAACATTATTTTCGAATAAACTTCTCACACTCACCTCCCCCAGAACGAAAAACAAATTTAAAATTGCAAGTCCTTAAGCACTCTGACAGTCCAAGCCCAGAGAGCACAGAGCAAACGTGCATGAGACTGTTCTTTAATGCTGGCTGATCAAACTTAACCATGTCCAAGACATTTATTTATGTTATGTTAGTGAACCCCTAAGCTATCCACATAATTGCATAATTCTAGTAAGGTCTGTTTCTTGGCAAGGGGCAGAGACTACAGAAATACCTTCAGGTTTAACTTCTTGCTTTGTGCTGCTCCTACTACACAGGTCTGTGTGACTGACACTATTGTGGCAATAGCTTCAGGAGTAGCAAATTATTACCTCTTATCTCTGCTTTAAAAAGTCTGCAGTACATTCATGCCAGCAGTTTGTCCTCCTGGGAAGAATGGCTTAAAACTGATATGGGATTCACATTAGGGCTTAGGTTTTTCAGAGAGTTTTACCAGTGTAACTAGCATTCTTGAAAAGCACAAGCTAGAACACCACCACCTACATCTATAACAGGGCTCTTGCAAATTGTGCTTCAGTTAGGATACAGACCTCTGGAAAAAGCAGAGTATATAATCCAGGAATCTTTTTTCTAACAGCAAGTTACACTGCTAAAGCTCCAGTTATAGGGGAAAATAAAAAAAATCTACTTTTATATCTTGCAAAGTCTGCTCTAGAAATTATAAAAGTTACAGAGGGCACTGCTTGCATGACAAAGACATCCTGCATGGAACACTACTGCAACACTTCAATACCCAGTGGAGCCAAAGATTCAACATGCTAATTCAATGCCAACTACTCCATACAAGCATCAAGATGGCAGAAATTTCCACCAAATACAAACAACATCACAAGGCACTATAATCAGTATATTAAAATGCCATAAAAATCTGTCAGCTATTTGTTCACCTTCAGACTTAGACCAGGGACAACTAACAAACCCTTTTATCTTACCAGGATTACTAAACAGTGCAATACCCCTGCTACATTCAGATCTCTAGGGGCTTCTGAAATTATTTTACACCAGAAGTTTATCATTCATAAAATCTATAAAATACTTAACAGCATCTGCAGAGCATCCCTTCTAACTAAATATCAGAACATATCCAGAAAGAAAACATAATGAATAAAAGTTATTTAAACTCACCACTCCGCTTGCAGATTTTGTTTTCACATCCAGTTTCACCAACCCAAAACCTTAACAAATAAAAGTCAAAGTTACACGATTAGGCCTTAACTAAGGCCCTGCACATTTTTCAAGAAGTTGGTCTTCCAAGCAGTCTCAGCAGTGTGCCACATATATACATATAAATAAACAACTACAGACTGACTTCAGCAACGTGCAAATTTTAGATGCTGCAGCAGGTAAAGGAAGCTACTCCAAAGCAAACTGGGAGTTCTGTTCAATCATCACCACACAGAAAGTGGGGAGTAGCCTCTCAGTTGTACACTGTACATTTAACTACCAAATGATGGCTTCCAAGAGTAAATTTAGTGACAGAGGAAATACATAATTTTCCACTCCTGGAATGCCATTGCTTACATTTCCTCTCAGCACCAAGACAAAATATCTCAAAGTAAAACTCTACAAAAGTGAAGTCACCGGGTAATACACAACCATTGGAACTGTAATATAAGCAGGTTTTATGGGAGTGTCAATTCACATTGTTATCCCTAGAGCTGAGCAACAGTCTTGGTGAAAAAGCCCCCACATGCATTCCCAAAGACCAGAAAGAAACAGCATTGTAACAAAGAATAATTTAACTATGCAACTGTCTGGTATTAAATAATTTCAAAATGTAGAAGGATTCTTTATCCCAATAGCCTTTCCTCTTTCTATTCCAAAAAAGGCTATAACATTACACTGGTATATAACCCTTCCTACATCAACAAATGTTGTGGCACAGACAGACTGGTAAACAAAGTGTACTCCTAAGTTAAACTACTCTTGCTGCTTACATGCTTGCATATTTGTACACCTCTGACATTTACATGGCTAGAGCAGTAAAATTTAACAGACTTCACATCAAAACAGCCCACAAAAAGCCTCCAACAATGTTAATTGACTGCAATGATATAAAAACAGCACATCCTCTCCCTTCTCAGAAATATGGGCATTTAAGCATTCAATTTTACATACAATTTTAAAAAGGCAATTCATTGTTGCACCTCAAACACTGTATGTTAAAAAAGGTACTATTCTTACCATATCCTTTATTGAAGATATCTCTGGCAGATTTGCCAAGGTCTGCGTACGACGGAGGAATCGCCATTGGAGCTGAAAGGTAAAAAGCTAGTTAATAGTGAACCTTTTTCCACTGCACACAAAAAAATGCTACCACAAGTCTTTCAAGATACTCTTTAAGGCAGTTTCATCTATATGAAGGCAGTTAATGGATATAATGGCTCACACAACTACGGTGTTCTGTGAAACACCTACATATTTTCAGCGAAGGTCACTGTGAACAGGGGATGTTTTCTCAGAAGAGGCATTATAAGACCACCCAGTTCTTAATTTTTCAAGTCCATTTCTCCATGCACCTTTAATTACTAGAAATAAACTAATACCTTACATTTCCAGAGTTGGCACAGTTACCACCAAAAACCCGGAAACTGTACATCTGAAAAACTATAATGCAGACAGTTAATCCTCTGAAGTTCTACAAAGTCAAATTTGACACATGCCTATGAAAATTACCTGAAAATCCTACAAGATTTATTTATGAAACTGTAAAAAGAAGGCATATCTCTTCTGCAACATCATTTTCACCCCACATTTTATATGGCAGACATGCCATTATTATTTATATTTATTATACAGAAACATATACAAATGTTCAAATTAAAAAAGAACATCTAGTGCCATTAACTAGCAATCAATCTGTTGAAGTTTTTCCTCCCTATAGCATGTAAGAGTTTATATTTGGGAGGTTTTCTTGTTTGTTTAAAACATACAAGTAGGAGGAGTGCCAGGTCCGTGAGAAAAGCTCTCTTCAGAGCCCCCTTCTCTGACAGGGAGCCTCCGGCAATGTGGCTGTTCTGAGAATCTGTCGCTCAAGACGAGCTATGCCCCGGCCCGGGGATGGAAGACACTAAGCTAAGGTCTGACCCCGGCCTGTATCGCCCTCCTCCCTGCGAAGATACACTCTATCTGCACCTTTCTTCGGGGACTGGGTTCCCATGATTTCAACAGCAAAAGGCCACTGCTACAGAGGCCCTGTATTTTAAAGCTGCGAAATACAGAAACCAGCATATTAATAACTCTCCTCATGCTGTGAAAGGAGGGAAAAGGGCCGAGGGAACAATGCAGCTAACTAGATAAGGCCATGAAAAGGCCAAACACAAGCAAACAAAAATCTTATCTACTCAAACTGATTGGTCACATTTGTTTAGCAGAGAAAGTCAGATTAACATAATTGACTGTTTATCTTGCTCTCTGTGGTGGGGTTTTAGGGGGTTTGGGGTTTTTTTTTAAGTAAATGAAGAAGTATCTTCAGAACCTGAAAAATAACAAGGGCAGTATTCTCACACATCAACTTCCAACTGAAAGCAAAAGTGATTACTTCATTTTTATATAGTACTTTTAACCAATATTTAAATTTCCATCATCTGGCTATAGGACTGCTTATCTTCTGCAAATCTACACAAGATCCTAAAGTGTACTCATTAATACAGGATCAAGGCAAGCCCTTTTTTTCCCCTTCTCAAAACCATTTCTTCCCATCTTTTCACAGCCTTATCTATAGCAAGGAAAACTTTCCTGGAACATCCAATTTAGAAAAAAAAAATGCCTTCAGGGCACCACACCATTAGGCAGACTACTGTTAAAGAATAGCATCCACATTAAAAAACCCCAAACCCTAATTACACCTGCTATATACAGCCTAATTGTATGAACTGCTACTATTAAAAAAAAAAAACAACAAAACCAAAAACCACCAAACTATTTCCACAATCAACGGAAAGGCACAAGACTGCTCCTTAACTTTCTACAATTCATAAGGCAGTTTTCCAGAGTACCTTACTCCATCTCCCTACTGCCAGAAGAGGACAACTTCATCCTCCTCTGAGCCACCAACATTAACACTCAGTTTCACACACACACACAAAAAAAACAAAAACAAAAACACCCAAACAAAAAACTTCCTTTAGCAAAGACATCTAAACTCTACAACCAGGTCACTACAGCAAGACATCTATCTTGCTCAAGAACTTACAACAAGTCTGTTTTTCCAGGGAGTTAAATTAAATGTTACATTTAAAAAAGACACAAAAATTACTTAGAGCATGTGAAGTTTAAAAAGGTTCAAGTTTATAGAACAGATCCTAAGCCCAGTGACAAGCCATTAAATGGTTCCTATTATTTATTCAATAAAATGAAGTAGATGATTGACCAAATTACAAGGGAGTGTGGGAACACTGCTCTAGTCCTTCTACATTTCTGCTGTACAGCAACTGTACAATTCTTTAGTAGTTTAAAATATTTTAAAGAAGGTCTAGTTATACGTTTCCTTTAATGAACGGATCTCACTTCTAACCAGCATCTTCAAAAGAATAATTATTTTTAGTTTAAAAATTTTATATTAGCATTCAGCATAGACATGATTTTTGAGTGCAAATAAATGAGCTTTTCCCTTTTGTTTTAATGTTTCCAGTCTGACTAAATAACCATCACAGACAAGAGATTTATGCTAAGCAGAAATGTCCTGAGAAGTTAACAAACTTGTATCCATGTCAAAATTCAAAAGATTATTACAGTAAAGAGGATGCTGCCGTTTTATGAGGCCTAGTTAAGCATTCTTCCCACTGCAAGGAAACTAGCCAGTATTTGTCAGACATTCTAGCCTACACATGCAAGTTTTGTAATAAAAAGTTAGTACAACTGCCATGCTGCTGCTCAAATTCTATACTAACAGGGACAGACAAGGAGAAAAGAGGAAACCAAAAGTTCATTTTGAATATACTAAACCCCCGATAAACCAGTGTCACCATCAGAATACTCATTAAATGAAAACAGGGCCATTAAAAAAAAAAATCAATCCCATGTCCTCCAATGTTAGCTAGGTTTGCAAATTCTTATAATCAAAAGTAAATTTCAATCCAATTTTGAAGAGTCTTTCACTTAAAAACAACTAATTAGAAGGGACTAAAATATAAGTACCATTTAGCAACTGGAGGTTTGTTGTAAAAATAACTAAGAAATAATTGACTCGAATTACTGAATATATTTGAAACACGTGAGAGCTCCACCCTAATCTTTGTTTCAGGCCACAGGAAGGAAAAAGTTTAATTAATCTGTTACTCAAGAGCCACAATCATGCTTTCTTCTCCCATAAAAAGAAAAAAGAATGACCCCAAGAAAATAAAAATGTATTAACATTATCGGAATTATTACATCACCGTTTTCCTTCAAGGCAGTATCCCACACCCTATAATTAAGGAATGCCACAGACTTCTATTAAGATTTCTAACAATTTTAAGATCTCAGGATATTGAAGATCAGACCAGAAACCAGATCAGGTTATTAACAAAAAAAGGGGGACTCATGTAATTTTAAAAAGCAGCAATAAGTATGCCCAAATTATCCCAGTATCCCAGTAAACAGCAACAGAAAAAATGAGATTACTTAAAGCAAAATTTGTTAAAATACACTGGACACACTCTGACCTTCTGGCTTACAGGGATACTACATACAGCTTAAAAAAGAGAAAATCCACCTCCTTCCCCTTGCATTAACTGTCTCCCTACCTCAGCTGGGAGGTGGACACGCAAGCCCAACCCTGGCCAGGCCAGTGCACAGACTAAGAGGAGAACGCCTGGAAATGCACTACAGGCTCAGCACCGCAGGCAGGGGCAGTAACGCAGCGCCTCCCCAGGGGAAGGGAGCGCAGGGC